GGCAAATAAATAGCGTTAAATAAAATAATTCTTTAAAAAGAATTTAAAACATAGTTGAGCTCAGTGCCGGCAGGTGGCACAGTGGTTAAAGGTACTGGACTCCACATGGCTGACCGGGGTTTGATTCCTGGACCTGGTGGCTTGCTTTCTCGCTTTCCCTCTCTCTCTCTCGCTCTGTCTCTCTGATTAAACTGGAAAATCATAATAATAAAGTTAAATAAAATAATTAAAAAAAAAAAAAGTTGGGCTGCCGTGGGTTGGGCAGGAAACTTTCCCGGCAAAGAGCACATTGAGAGGAAGAGAGTGACTCCAAGGGAAATGGGAAAATGGCTTGAGGCCCCGGAGGATGTCCACAATGCGCACAGCCATCCTTGCCGGCCCACCCTTGGCATGAGCGGCTCAGGAAAGGGATTCTAGAACCTAGAGCGGTAACCTCTGTCCAGGGAGGGGAATGAAGAAGTCGGTGCTTGTTTTAAAAAGTGGATTTCTGGTTGGGACCAGCAGTTGGCATGATGGCTATGTCCCATGTAGTTGACTGCGGTTCGAGTCCCAGACCCGGTGGCTTAAAACTCACGCCGGGCACATGTGCGTGCGTGCCCAAGATCCCGAGAGGAGAATGGAGGAGAAGGGATTGCGGCGTGACCATCTCCCCTGGGGGGTGATTTCTCACTTTCTGTCTCTCTGAGGCTGGCAGGTCTTATGGGGGTTAAGGGCGCTAGGCTCCCACATGGCTGACCGCTGTTTGACTCTCGGACCTAGAGGCTTGCTTTCTCACTTTCCCTCTCTCTCACTCTTGTCCCTCTCTGGTCAAATTAAACAAACAAACGGGAACAGCAGTTGGCCTAATGGCTATGTCGTTGGACTCCCATGTAATTGACTGTGGTTTGAGTCCCAGTCCTGGTGGCTTAAAGTCACGCCGGGCGCATGTGCGTGCGTGCCCACGATCCCGAGAGAAGAATGGAGGAGAAGGGATTGCGGCGTGGCCATCCCCCCTGGGGGCTGATTTCTTACTTTTTTCCTCTCTGTCTCTTTGTCTTTTTGGCAAGTGCACATGACCTATAGCAAAAACCTCTCCAAAAACAAACAAACAACAAACATTTATTTATTTATTTACTGTGATTTTTGAGCCACCAGATCTGGGACTTGAACCATTTTCCACCATGTAGGAATCCAGTGCATAAACCATCATGCTAC